TAGGCTGATGACATTAGCATAAAGTAGGCTGATGACATTGAGTAAATTGGTGTCGTATGTTTAAAATTTTTTAGGGTCTTTGGTTTCGCTTGAGTTAGCCATGGAAGGACTAGGCATTTAGGAGAATTGGGAATAATCTATTAGAATTCATATTTGTTTTAAATTGTTTGCCTGCATTATTCCTGATGTCTGATCACTTTTTATATCCTCTTGATTTCATCACATTTATGAACTTACAACATGAATTTTGTCCGTCCACTAGTCTATTTTCAGTCGATTTGTTGTCTAAATTTGCTTGGCATCCGATATATCCAGGTTGAAGAGAAACTTGAGTCTGGACAGGGAAAGACACCCTTCCGCCGTTTCTTTTCCAGATTTTGTACACCTATCTTCTTGGAGGTATGACTGATATGGTTTATTTTAACTATACTTGTCGCGCATGCTTGTAGCAAATATGATCCATATCTTATTCTATAGCTAGCGATGTTGAGAATCAACTCATACAGCTTAGACCTTTTGAGCTGTTAGTTTGAAGTCTTATGATAACCTTCAGTACTAACTTAATTCTGTTTGCTCTTGCAGTCTTTCATTTTAACATTTTTAGCAGAGTGGGGAGATCGCAGCCAAATAGCGACAATTGCTGTAAGATGAATATCTTTGAACTGATATATTATAAGTCCCCCTTCATAGTTAATGTTATATTTAGTCCATACTTTTTCCTCTTGAACTGAGATGAGTATCTTTGAACCCTGCAGCTGGCAACCCACAAAAATGCGATTGGAGTTGCGGTGGGTGCAACACTAGGACATACAGTCTGCACGTCTGTGGCTGTGGTAGGAGGGAGTATGTTGGCATCCAAAATCTCCCAACGGACAGTCGCTACAGTTGGAGGCTTGCTCTTCCTATGCTTCTCCGTGTCGTCATATTTTTATCCTCCTCTGTAAGTGCAAACTGTGAACCCTAGGCTAACCAGATTCTTTTAAGAGCCTTGAATGCTCCACGCATTTTGTTTTTCTATATCATTCTGATTCGTTTGTAAAATGATAGCATATACTATACAGTGATATTAGTTGTGTCCCTCCTCGGTTGCATTGCCCCATTGTTAATGATGCATACCACGAAAGAAAATGTACACCCATTTTCTTACAAACGTTTTCAATTACATGGTCTTATCTCATCCTCATATGAGATGAATCAAAGTGGAAAGCTCTTACCCGAAAAAACCGCATACGTGGAATAGGCCAGTTGCTCGTGACAATGTCTGTAAGCGAAAAATGAAATCAGTAACGTGTTCGAAAGAGAGACTTCATTCTATTCATGATTGGTTGCTTCATGTCCTACAAATAGAGAAATTTTTCATCGTGACCAGGGTACTGGTACACCATTTGTTTTTATATAAGTGGTGGCAAATTGTATTTTTTTTAGTTATTAACTTTTTAACATATATGTCTCACTATTTGTATAATAACACGTGGTGTACTATCTTCTATTCCGATTACATTTAAAAATCTCACCTACAAATAGCCAAAAAGGAGGCTTTTCGTTGATATTTTTTTAGGAAGAAACCCTCTTTTGGCAACATTTTGAAGCTCACTATTCTTTATTTCACTTCATTGTGTAGTTCTTGGATATTATATTAAAAACACATTTGAGCTCAATAATAATAAATGGTAAAACCAATTTTAAATGCTTATAAAGTTTACCTTAATGCATAAGAAAAATATTTTGTCCAAGTAAAAAATTTAGACTTTTTTCTGGAAAGAAAAAAAAAACATGTGCTAACACTAACGCTATTTAGTCAGTTTTACAATTTTGTACAAACTTCATCATATAATCCATTTGCTTTCACTTATGCCTCACCGTAGAATTTGAGAATTTGTGCAAAACTTTCCAATGATATTCTTGAGAGTGGAACCTATATTGGCAATATTTTGGGCCTCACAACTATTTATTCCACTAATTATTAGTCGGTTTTGTAATTTTGTACACAGTTCATTATGGAATCCATTTACTTTCACCTCCACCTCACCATGCGGTTTCGAAAACTCATGTAAGGCTTTTTATTGATATTCTTGAGTGTGAAACCCTATGTAGCAACATTTTGGGCCTCATTACTATTTATTCCGCAATCAATATGGGCTAGGGTTTAGTTTTAATCGCACTAGTCAACCATTGCTGCTCGTACAAACCATTGGTACCGAGGGTAAGACATTTATAGGAGGTAGGGTTTAGTTTTAATCTCATGGATGGACGATTGTTGCTTGCATGAAGCATTGGTGCCGGGGTGGACATTTATAAGCTGCCATCAATAGGGGTAGAGACATTTATAAGCCGCCATCAATAGGGGTAGAGTCTAGTTTTAATCTTAGGGGTCAACTATAGTTGGTTGGACGAAACATTGTTGCCGTGGGTGGGACATTTATAAGCTGCTATTTTATCTTTTTGTTAAAATTTTCTTTTTTCCCTTACCGTAACCCCAAATTATCATCTCCATGCTCTAAAAAATGTATTTTCGGTGAAGATTTTCTTATAATCCATGTCAAAACAATTGAAAACAAGGATATAAATATAAATCTAAAAATATTTGAATTATAAATAAAGTAAGATAGGAAGAAAAAAATTAAATGGAAAAAGGGAAAAAGAAATTAATAGAAAATGAAACAATCTGTACTTTGTGACCAATTTCTAAAGAATAGTCGCTAAAAATATAGCGATTATTAAGAAGATAAGTCACTATTAATATAGTGACTAAATTCCTTACGAGTCGCTAGCATCCTACCGATTCCCACTTTTCAAAGTTTTTTGTGTTTAATTTTGTTAATTTTTCTTTTATTTCTCTTATCATAACAACAAACTATCATCTTCATATTCTTCAAAAATATTTTTTCGTGCAAAATCTATTATAATTCATATTTAAGCACTTATAATCAACGATTTAAAACCTAAATTGAAAGATAATTGAATTTAATAGTGGTTACTCAAATAAAGTAAATAAATTGGAATAGGGAAAGATCGGTACCACGCAACCGATCCTCACTCAGTCGTACTTAAATCATCGTTCAATCTATTTATTTTCACTTTTGTCTCACCATGAAGTTTTGAAAATTAATGTAAGACTTTCCGTTGGTATTCTTGAGGGTGGAACCTGTTTTTGACAATGTTTTAGGCCTCACCACTATATTTTTCACTTACTTTTTTAGTTTCGGCTTAAATATTGTATTCAATATACATTTGTTACTCAATAAATAGTAAAACCATTTCCAAATGCCTTATAAAGTTTTCCTTAATGCACATATAAAATATTTCACTAAAATAAAAAAGTTTCATTTTTCACAAAAAGTGTGGGTGTCACGATTTTAGTCGGTTTTAAAAATTCATACTTAAATCATCATTCAATATATTATTTTCACATTCGCCTCAGTGTGAAGTTTTGAAAACTAATGTATAAGACTTTCCGATGATATTCTTGAGGGTGGAACCTCATTTTGACATTGTTTTGGGCTTCACTACTATATTTTCACTTTTTTTTTTAAGTTTTCGACTTAAATATTATACTAATATACATTTATTACTCAATAAACCGTAAAATTGATTCTAAATGCCTTATAATGTTTTCCTTAATGCTCCGAAAAATATATCAAGAAATAAAAATTTTACATTTTGCAACAAAAAACGTGAATTAACACTCAAGATTTTTGTTTGTTTTGAATTAAATATTCTATCAAAAGTGCATTTGTGGCTTAATAAATAGTAAACTCAATTTTAAATGCCTTATAAAAAAATTCTTAACACTTGCTGAAAATATTTCGCAAAATATAAAAAGTTTGCGTTTTACGTAAATATTGTTCTAAATTCATTATAAAATTCATTTTCGTTTTTCGCAAAGGGCTTGCAATCGCCTATGGCATCATCAGCACAGCTTCTGGAATTTGCACTGATTGTCGCAACTTTATCAAATACGCTTCTCATCAGCATTCAGATAGGGAAATAATTGTGAGATTCGTTTATCGTTTCATCATTTTAAACATGATCTCCGCTCCTGTGTAGATTATACTGGTAAGACAAAGGCCTAGTGTACGATGAAGTACTTAGAGTTAACGAAAGACTTTGTACAAAGTTGATGATAATGACGTTCTAGGATTCATGTTGTTGTTTTGGTTCCACGCCAAACGATGCTCGAGTCAGCCTCGGAGTTTGTTGATTGCTGTTTGTCTTGCAACCAGAGGCAGGGACAGAAGGTATGAGCAAATTGACCAAAAAAATAAAAATAAATAAATAAAGGTTGGTGGTGACACAACGTACTTTCTTCCCTCAACGACTGTATTTTCTATCCTTGCAATCATTCATATATTATATGCCCTACTTGTAAGTAATACTAATAACCCAAGTTGATATTCCTGGCCATCAACATTGTTTGAGAGAGAATTACATAAAACAGAGACGCTAAGGTGACAGTGTCTCAAATCTATCACTTGTCGTCAAGTGTTTTAATTTTCTTACATGACATCCTATGAATGATTTAAGACACTGTCACCTTAGCGTTCCCTTTTTATGCAACTCCTTCTTTGCTTATGCATAAGAAATATCCCTTGGTATGCACTACATGAGGCTAGAGTCCAAATTAAGAAAACGGAAGAAAAGGAGAGAAGAGAGAAAAAGAAAGGTGGAATTTGGTAGCTTAATCTATAAGAGAGGTAAGTGAAGTGGAGAACCCTACCCACTTTTGAGTAATTGTATACAAAAGTATACATTTAATTAGTTTATCTGAATTATATGTAAATTATTTAGGTTAAACTTTTCAACCCAACTTAATTAATGTTTAAATCACGTCCAAAAATAACCATCAATTGGAGTATTGCAAATGTTAATTTGTGTTTATCTTCTCCATCGCTACCAAACATGCTTGCGTATGTAGATTGACTTTTTCATACGTAAAATTATTGTGACTTGATAACAAAGCCAGTGCATCGCATACCCTTCTGCTATAACAAACCATTTTCCCACTCCCCATTTTGCATTTTCCCAACCACCATTTCTCCACATTTCCATCTCTCTTTTTGTTTGCGTTGTTTGATGGGAAAATGAGAGAAAGAATGGAAAGATTCATTCTTCTTCCTTACGCAATTGGTTGCGTTTCTGAATCGAGCGTTGCTGTTGCCGGCGTGAAGCAGCAGCCGCCCAGAAGATCAAAACCGGACACAAAGCCGTCTCCAATAAGTCTCTCTCTCTCTCTCTCTCTCTCTCTCTCTCTCTCTCTCTCTCATATATATATACGTACTTCCATGCAGTGTGTTTCTCTCTCTAATTTGCTAGCTAGCTTATGTTTTCATGTTATTTTGATGATTTCTGAAAAGGAACTAAAGAAGCTGAGGAGGAAGAAGATGAAGAAGATAGCTTAACGGGCGAAAGCATGAAGAACTCGTTTAGATCCCTGGCTCTTCCGAAACCAAACATATCAATCGGTATTCATAGGCTCGTCAAGGGTTTCAAGAACTTCTCTCAGCAATTTGGTAAGCCTCAATGAATGCGTGATTTGGTTATCATTGTTTTGGGGAGTACATCCGCTCTAGCCAATGTGACTACTCCCTCGACAGATCTTGTTTATCTTTACTTACTCTTGTGGCCATTTCCTTGATAGTTTACAAGGATGATATGGAAGAAGTGCTGGAAATGGATATGGAAATAGGGTGTCCAACGGATGTGAAACATGTGACACACATAGGTTGGGACGCTTCCACTTCAGCTTCCGCTGCCTCTGCAACAACTGACCCCTTTGGGGGCTGGGATAATCTCGTATCGCCTGATCTGCTCTCTGTTTCCCCTGTTTCTTGGAGGCAATTTGAGCTCTCTGTGCCCTCACAATCTGAAGCTGCAGTACCACCTCTTGTCCATGGTTCTTCTTCTAAATTTGTTGAAAAGAGTGGTGGAGGGATGATGTGATTATATTTAAGATCAAGGGTTCGTCTGGTTCGTAGGATATCCAAATTGAAATCGAATTCTCTGTCTACCCCCGCTACGTACATCTTCCAGTATGGTTTTTCTGAAGCTTGAATGCTGTAATGAATGATGAATCTATGGGTTTGTAATTAATTATATGGCATCTGATATCTGATATACATACATATACATATACATACACACGCACTTTTTTGGCATTTTTAAAAGTGTGAATTCATGGTAATTTGAAGTGCATTAGGTTAGTTGTGACAAAGTGATGAAACATAAAATATATTTCACAAACAATGTAGCATACATGACATGAGTGATTACAGTTTGATAAAAAGAAGCAAGTCTACTTGAAGAAGTAAGGAAGGTTAACAACATAGAGGAGGAAGTAGGCCCAAGTGACACCCGAAATGCCTCCGAAGAAGAAGCCGCCAGTGAATTTAGACCATCCCTCTGCGGTTTGAAGCTGGTCGGGCTCCTTCTTCCGACCAGTTAATGTCAAAGCAGGCGCGGAGGACGGCTCTCCTTCCTTGAAGGAGGAAATTCCATAGATTGTCAAGCACAAGGTTAGGATGACCACAAGACCAGCAGCAGCCAAGGAGCCAGCTCCCCCAGCATAGGGGGTGTTCCTCAATGGGCCAGTCTTGACAAACGGGCCTACCAGAAGGAAACCGTGGGCCAGGCCCACCTCAATACCCCTGAGAAGTGGGCTGACCGCTGTCCTGTAGGCTGGGAGGTTGGACAAGTACCAGGCAATCAAAGGGCTTGATGTCACTGGAGTCTCCAAGCTTCCAATGAAAGGATCTCCGTTGATGGGTTGAATCACTTGGAAATTTTGCTGCAACATTGATTCAATCATCATACCATAAAATTACAAACACATTAAACTCAGGGAGCTGTTATTGACATTAGTATTTGCGCTAAATCATACAGTAGGTCATAATTAATTTGTTAACTATCTACGAAAGTTGAACTTAAAACTTCCTACTTATATAAGACAACTAAACCTAGTGGCCAGTGGCTAGTGCTACTGTGCTAAATCATACAATAGGTCAAAAGTATATTCATATCCGATATTCTCTATACAAAACGCCGGTTAAAATGACTGATGCGTCATTAATAAGGTATCAATAACATGTCAGTACGTTTTGTTAGCGATAGTCGAGGACAGTAATACTGACACGCATGAAGTGAAAATGCATGATGAGGAGAAGTAAAAGTACCTTGTCAGATTGGACAGCCTTGATGGAGAAGGAAGAGAGTCTCTTGGAAGGGAAGAGCCTGAGTGGGGAGGCAGAGAGGCCTTTGGGAGAAAACAAGGCAGGTCTGGTGGTGATCGGAGAGGTGAAGTTGGATTTAAGCTGGCTGGCCATTGGAGAAGCTGAGGCCATCACTTTTGCACCAACTGCAGAAGATACACAGACACAGTTGTAACCAAAGAATGGGAGAGTGAGAGAGAGCAGATATTGGGCAAGTAAGTATATTTTGCAAATGTAGTGAGATGTTGTGGTGGTCAGAGACCCCTCTGATTCCACTGGATGAGGTGTTGCCAAAACCTTATCCCTTATCAACGTTACCCCTTTTGTTTCCTTTGGGTTCCAAATTAGTTGGGCTAGGACTTTACCTTCGCTTTGGTATTGGTTTAGATTTGGGCTGGACTGTCCTGGTTAGACGTTTTGATTGCATGGGCTTCTAGTGATAGGAAGTTGGGTTGGACCCACAACACGTCTTATTCGACATCTGGTCATCCATGATACAAAGATTTTAAACATTTAACAGCTGAATGTGCGCTCTATTCAAATTCCAAGTAGAAACCGTCCCCTCCCCCTCTCCACCGACACATCAAGATCAAATAGCTGAATATACTAATAGTACAAGAACGACATGAATAATATGTAAGAATATGAGTATGAGATAGAGAAGTTTTAGGACCAGTTATAGGTATTCAATTTGGATAGAAAGTCCTATTGATGAAAGGAATGTTGATCCTTGATTGAAAAGGATTTTGGTTAGCATCAGGAAACAAGTGTTTGTTTCCGATGAGGATTTTGATAGGAAATCCTGATCTATTTTGGTGAAGTCTATATGTATATATATAGTGACCTCTCTTCTCACAGAACTAACGCTCATATTGGACCATAACCTATCTGTGAGTCGAGCTCTTGACAATCTGCAAGAGAAGAGAAGGATCACTGAAAGTTTGCTGCAATGGCTACGAGTTCTGGTGCAACTGCAGGTATGTTTTCCTTTCTGGTTATTTATGTGCACATAACTGGGTTGGTTTCCTTTTGTTTGTGGTTCATGTTTTGGTCTTGGTGTTTGTTTGTTTACAAGTTCCTACATGTGGTATCAGAGCCACAAGACACAAACATGAGTTCAAATCTGTAAAGGAGAAAAGTCGAATGTGTTTATAAATAGATAAATAAATTTTGCGACTTCCAGGTTTCGAAACTGGTTTAAACGAATTTGCTGGAAAAGAGTTTCACAAAAACGACATTGCGTTTTCAATATGCAGAGAATTAATAAAATAAAATTGACCGTCAGGATTTTTGGGGATTGATATGTGGCCAATTGCTGGTGCAAACCTCAATGTTTTCATCTTAGATGCATCGGTGGCATGTGATCTCCAGATAATGACAAAATATATTTAAACTATTACCATTGGTTTTTTTTCTGCAAATCTATTGGTTGAGGTTGTTTTCTCAATTTGGGGTTTTGATTAGCAACTTCATCGATCAAAACATGTTCTAGGTTTTGTGATTCTCTCAACTCTTAAATTAATTTTTTCAATTTGGATAATTATTTCCGTTGCGCTGTTCCAAATTGAAATCTGCATGAGGTATGTATTGATATTTCTGATTAGAGCTGATAATCAAGGCTGAATTTTTCCATATATGCGGAAAAATTTTGATTTGCATTTTCTACTGATGGTTTTGTGTTTTCTTAAACAACCATGAAAAATGATCATTATGCATGAGACGTCTGTTGATGCCTGTTGTTGCATATATTGTCTATAAGTCTGCAGTGATTAAAAGGTATGATTGCTTTAATTCTTTCAATACCTGTGTATGTTTTAGCGTATATGAATCTGCTTTGCTTCTGCAGATTATGTGAATCAGGTATAAATCTGGTATGATAACAATTTATATTATGCTGCACGTGGGAAAGGGTGAACTTATTCTTGCTTGCTTCTTTGGAGATCAATAAAGTGATTTAGCAAAACACATTTATCTTAAACATCATAGTTCTAATTTTGAGAATTATTGCTTCCGCTGTGTTCATTATGATGTCTGAAGATTGAGGTAGCTGTGGTTTCTTAATCCTTTATATGAATAAAGATGTGCATAAAATATGCCTGACCAAATATTAGTAAGATAAAAGAAAGATGAAATCTTGATTATGACGACATTAATAAGTTTTTGTTTGTCTAAGAGATATTAACGTTCATGGTTTGTCTTTTTTTGTGGGAATTTGGGTCGACGGGATTCTGGTCGTCGCTTTGGCGATGATTTTGGTTCGGCGCGTCTGTAACCATGGCAATCCGTATGGATGGGTCTCGAACATTGATGGATAATTTGTTTCGTTGATTTGGAGCAAAGGAATTGCAATCGGGTTGTCGAATACGAGTCCAATGATGCATTCAGGTAACTCAGTTCACTGTTTCATGCATAATTAATTGTTCTCCTATATGCGTGATTATAGTGCGATGAGTTGGAGCATAATGAATTAGGGCTTTTGCTATTCCGAGTATGCTTGTTTATTTTGTGAAGGCACAATTAAACTCGAAGTCCCTATAGATGCCAACTTATGATTTATGTGAGATGACTGGAATCATTCTTTCTGCATAAAGAGATTCATTAGACTAATATTTGGTGTACACATTGCTCTTCTATTTTTGAGTTAGAGCCTGTGTAATTAGATTGGGTGGAAAATATTGTTTTGTTGCTATTTTGTTGTCTCAAGCAGATGTAAGATTTCTCATTAACTTGCTTGAAACTTGGAAGCTTGCATCATGATTTTCCATTATGAATTATGATAATAGAATTTGACTTATTGTTGCTACCCAAATACCTGTGGCTTTTATGTGGGTCTGATTGGTTTGAATTATTATAGAAAAGCAAAATTGGATTATACGAGTATCCATAATGACGTTTTTAAAATTATGAGTGTAATTCATATCCCAATTTTGGTTAGACTATATATAATAGGTTTTGGGGGTGTTGCCATATATGTGAATGATGTAGTTCAGAATTTTTGGGTTCGTTAATGCCAATATCTGCACTGTATAACCAAAAACATGTGAAGGCTCTTGTGTTAGTACCTGTATGAAATGATATAAATTGTTTAGTGAAACCTTGTTGGCAAGAATGTATTCTGAAACTCATCTCACTTGATATATTGTAAGTGTAAGAGATTTGATATTATGTATTAAATCTATAAGTACACTAAATTTTATTGGATGATCATCTTGATTATCTTGTTTTAATCAAGATGACTTGTGCCTTTATATCCAGACATTATCAAAATTTAGTTGATCTTGCTCGATGGGTATTGAACTAGTTAGGATCAAATTGAATGCAAGAATATTGTGCTTGCTATTCTGATTTTGATTATTGTTGAAACTGGTGATTTTGGGTTTATGTGAGATAAGTTTTTCCGAATGGATTGTGACTATCTTTTGATACATAGACTGCTTGCATAATGGTTTAGGTGTATTTGACTAAACTGAGATTATGCAATTGGTAAGGAATCGGGAATCAATTGGTTGATATCTCCGGTTTCTTTATTGGCTGTGCAGTTCATTCTGCTTATGCTTAAGTGGGAGAATCATATGTTCGAATGTAAGCATAAGGCTATTTAGGCCGGCCATTATAATTCATTTGGATGCTTGAAAACCAGATTATGGTTTTATTGAAGCAATTGGTAATTATTTATGTTACTTAATTTGTTTAAGTAATGAGAAGTTTAGTGCTATTTGCTGGAACTAAACTTAACTTGATATAGTGGGAGCAAATCAATTTATGTGTTTGTTCTGGTCAAGTAAAATCACATTGTTGTAAATACAAATTGGATGAATGTGATCATGGAATTTGTTTGCATATTGGTTGCGGCAATTGATCACATTGATAAGACATTCAGTGTATTGCAATGACTGTTAGTTAATATAGTTGATATTAACTTATACTTAACTTGTTTGTGTGTAAGTATAGCCTAGATAAGTGGGAGCAAATTGGTTTGGTTTTTTGCTATATTGGTTCACATAATTACAAAGTGCAAATTAAGTATGTTGTGACTTTTGAGTTAATTCTGCGATGTAACAGAAAAAATTCTTAAGTTCAATACTTTAAAATGCATGGGTAAGTTGTATGTGAGGTTAAGCTTTTGTTATCCAAAAGATTTGGTGGCTATATGAGTGGGAGTAGACGTCTTGGTTTACTTTTGAGCTTAGATACATTGCTATGAACATGAACTGGACATTGTGATTTGTAAGTTAAATCTGTATTTTGTGTTGCAGACGCAATTATAAATTCATTGTTTTGGTTTATGTAAGCTGGTTGTGTCTATGTACTTGTGTGTTGGTGAATGACTTAATTATGTGATCACCTTTATAATAATTTGAGATGATTATCTGTTAGTGATCACTTCTATCTAAGTATGATTGGATAAATTGAGTACTTGAAACTGTTCTCATACTCAAGTGGAGAAATGTAAGAATATGAGTATGAGATAGAGAAGTTTTAGGACCAGTTATAGGTATTCAATTTGGATAGAAAGTCCTATTGATGAAAGGAATGTTGATCCTTGATTGAAAAGGATTTTGGTTAGCATCAGGAAACAAGTGTTTGTTTCCGATGAGGATTTTGATAGGAAATCCTGATCTATTTTGGAGAAGTCTATATGTATATATATAGTGACTTCTCTTCTCACAGAACTAACGCTCATATTGGACCATAACCTATCTGTGAGTTGAGCTCTTGACAATCTGCAAGAGAAGAGAAGGATCACTGAAAGTTTGCTGCAATGGCTACGAGTTCTGGTGCAGCTGCATGTATGTTTTCCTTTCTGGTTATTTATGTGCACATAACTGGGTTGGTTGCCTTTTGTTTGTGGTTCATGTTTTGGTCTTGGTGTTTGTTTGTTTACAAGTTCCTACATAATAATGTCAGGTGATTCGTCAAACCAAACGCAACAATGAGCTACAATGAATGAGTTTTGAGAAGGTTCCCACACAATACAACCTATTTTGACCGTTGATGATCCACAGTTTTCATTAAAATTGCTAGAAAGCGTCTAACTATAGAAAAATGAAAAGGAACCACTCAACCAACTTGCAAGCAAAGTGAGGGAAAAGTTGCAATCTGCATGCTTTAATAGTTGAATGTTGAATGTGTGTTGACAAGTCACATTTGGATGGTTTGAATCAAATCAATCAATTCACGAGGGAGGGTTTCAACTTTATATCGTGTTGAAAAAGAGGACTTGGATTGTCTGCCCTCCCTCATCTTATACTCTTCCCATCCCTTCTTATTTCTGTGATCACGATTAAGCCACGTCAACATTTTATACTCCCATTGCTTTTTGTCTTATTATTTCTATAAAAAATTTAATATAAAATGTTGACGTAGCTTAACCGCGATCACAAAAATAGGAGGGGATATGAAGGTTATGGGATGGGGAAGGTAGACAAAAAACAATACTCTTTTTCTAAAAAAATAAATTTAATTATTTAGGGACCAACTTTTTTATTTTTATTAACTAAATTGTCCAAATTCAAAAACCAGCCACAGAAAGCTCACATGAATGATGCTTCCATCAAAAAAGAGTGGCGATGAAGAAATCCATTGAATCTCAACGAAAATGACACGAAACTTTTCTTTATTTTTTGGACATACCATAAATCTTTTTAAGAACTAAGAGAGCGGATCTTAGCTTTTATTTGATTTTTACAGATCGTTCATCAAGAGGAGTGCAAGCAACAAGATAAACTTAAACGTTTATCTAATAAAGAGAACGATTCTTACCAACTCAACTAACTTTCGTAGACAATTTTTCCCGGCTTAATGCAATGGACTTTTGTCGACAGAATAATATCCTTTTGACTAACATGTTTGAAAGCGCAGACCATATGTTGTTCATATCTATGTGGAGTTTTGGAAACGATCAAATATTAAACTCAGTCCGACCTTATCCCAACTTCCCATTGGGAATCCTTATTTTTTTCTACTGCCGTCATCAATGTTATATTTGTCTAAGTTCTCTTTTTTTTGGTCCATAACACGATATTTCAAATTATTTTAATTTCGAAAAATAATATTTAAAATCAATTATGTTGAAATATGCATAGCTATTTGGTTGTTATCTATATCAATATTATTAAGAGAATCCTTCTTGTCAACTTTTTTTTCTATTTTGCCCTCATTTTTGATACACATTATTGACAAAAGGAAGGCAAAATAGTAATTTTGTCATTTTTGACAAAATGACAATCATATCCCTATTTTTCTTATTTTACCCTATTTTTTTTTAGAAAATGACAATTATATACTTATTTTTTTAATTTTACCCTTACTTTTGATACACAATATTTACATAAGAAGGATAAAACAATAATTATCATTAAGAGAAATTGTTCACACACAAAGTGTGTGCGCTCTCTGCTAGTAACCTGTAAACCAAACAAATAAAAAATTGACATCTACTGAATGGTGGGTATGGTTAATTTGTTTAGCCAAAAAACTAATTTTCTATAAATCCTGAGACATCTCAAATTTAATGAATGGTGGCTTTTGAATTACACCAATGGAAACTTCCTAACACCCTCCCAAATTATGGCTTTACTAAAAACAAACCAACAAACAAAAATAAAAATAAAAAAAATAGCAAGAAAAAAAGCTTAACAAGGGTCAAAACCGAAACTAATTTTCACACTTTTTTTTTTCTTTCTTTTATCTATTTTTGACTACGAGATTAAATAAATTAATAAAAATTAAAAATTATACAAAAATAACAAAAAGAAAGTGATATTTACACACCAATTTTTACCCTCATACACGCGCTTGTTAATTTTTATCTATTAATTTTTGTTCAATTCATTCTATTCAACCGTTAAAAATTAAAAAAATATATATAAAAATTATTTTCGAGTCAAATTATTATTTTGTAATATAAAAAATGGAGGTAAAAAAGATTATAAGAGGTGCCAGAAGATGAGAAGACAAGTCCACATGAACCTCGAACACGTTGGAAGAAAAGTTGGAATCCAAATCCAAATCAAAATCCAATCGCTTTCACATGAAAACATGAAACCTCCACCCCCCTCCCTCAGCGGCGTCATTTCCTCCTTCTTTTCCCCTTCCAAAACAATGACCTCCTCCTCCTCCTCCTCCTCCTCTTCTATTTCGTAACACCAAACGCCTGCGCTCTGCATTCTGTGTTGTTCTCTGCGCTTATTTTGGGAAGCGAGACGAACCAGGAGAGGGATGACAGAGCAGATGAAGATGAAGAACGACGAGTACGACGAAGTTTTGGAGCCACCCATCAATTTCTCCATGGTGGAGGACGGCATTTTCAGATCCAGCTTCCCGCAGCCGTCCAATTTTCCTTTCCTCAAATCGCTTAATCTCCGATCAATCATGTAAAGTCTTTATCTTCTATAAGCATTTTATTCGTGTGCATGCATCTATCGGTCCGTGTGTGTGTGTGTGTGTGTGTGTTTGAAGGTCGCATTGCGATTTGTGAGGTGTTTGGTTGCTGAGAAAACCGACGGAAAATTGAATTACGTGAGAAAGAACGGAAAATATTGGAAAAGAAATATCTTTTAATCTTTGTTTTTGAGTTTTTAGCGTAGATTAATTGTTTCTGCATTGAAGAATCTGATTAACGTCTGTAATTCGTTTGAAGAATTTGTTTTTACTTTCGGACACCGTTTGATTGCCAAGAAAATCGAGGGAAAGAAAAGCAAGAAACTCATTGAGAGTTGTCTGAGTTGTTTCTGGAGAGAGGAATTAGAAAAAGCAAAAAACTTTGAAGTTTTTGTAAGGATTGTCATGAATTTCCTTAATGGGAATATAGCGTTTATTGTGATTAATTCTGGGTTTTGGAGCAGATATTTGTGTCCCGAGCCGTATCCAGAGGAGAATTTGGAGTTTCTTCGGTCTCAGAATATTCAGCTACTGCAGTTTGGAATTGAGGGGAAGACGGTATACTCTCCCTCCCTCCTTCTGTGATTGCTTGTCCAAATTGATCAGTTTAAATCTTTCTGTGAGATTCATATATGATATTTGTTTGCTCCTGATATATGCTTACGCGAGCGCACACATCTTTAAATTTAAGATGTATGATTACAATTATTACGTTTTAATTGAATGGGGAACGACATGCTTGGCTGACATTTGATGGGATATGGGCTATGTTGTATAATGTGTTGTGTTGATGGGTTTATGTCCATGTCCATATGCAGGAGCCTTCTGTATCTATTCTTAAGGATACCATCCTGGAGGCTCTGAAAATCCTCATTGGTACCGGACTAATATGGCAGTTCTGCCTTTCTTTTTTATATTTAACTTTGTATTTAATTTTTAGTATTACACTTCATAATTTCTAACTGTAACCTTTTCGTGTTTCTAGATGTGCGAAATCATCCAGTTTTGATCCACTGCAAGCGTGGAAAGGTAAGTCTTATAAGTTCTATCTATCATCAGCCTGTCATAATTTGTTTTACTTTGACGCAGTGTCTTATGCTACATTACTTGTTTCCTCAGAAGTCATTTTAGCATTCATTTCAGTGTTCAACAAATCAAAATTAGTTTTTCAAGAACAGAATTTAGAGTGCATTACCGTTCATTTAGATTTGAGATTTTATTTTCTTGATCGATATGGATTCTCTTTATTCAAACAGTGTAAACATTTCATTCTTGTTGTTGATCATTGTTAATATTATGGCGAGATGTCTAAGAAAATAGGATTCAGCTTTTAAAAAATAGTCTCTGTCATTTCCCAAAACGGGCTGGCTTTGCTCAGGCTCTTACTGTTTAACATGCAAAGCATCAGAAACTGAATGCTGTACTTTTAACTACTGATGTATTTGTTATCAGTGAGAGATCTTTCCTTAAAGAATTTGTCTTTTGCTGGCATATAGTTTATCTGTGTTTCTAGGTTTCAGCCAGGAATCATTTTTGAACAGGCGGAAAACACTAACCTTCTCTAAATCTCCATAATAGTATAACCTCGTATAACAACAGATAACATATCCGGACTAGTGTCACATTAGGGCCTCCTTGAATTTCAAACTGATATAGCGATGTGCACCTTCTCTTGTTAATGACTGGAATATTTAGGAATGTAACAATTTTTGGGTTATGGCAGTTCTTTCTCACCTTTTGTTTGCAATTTTGCTTTGTTACAGCATCGGACAGGTTGCCTTGTTGGTTGCCTACGAAAATTTCAGAATTGGTGTTTGTCTTCTGTGTTTGAGGAGTACCAGCGTTTTGCCGGCGTGAAGTCTAGACCAACAGATTTGAGGTTTATAGAAGGATTTGACATAATGCTGCTGAGGCAGTGCCTGTACAGCATAATCTACCAGTATCAAGGTTACGGGTCGAACAAGAGGAGGTTGTTATACAAAGAAGACAATTTACAGAAGCCCCAAACCATGAAAGTTTGACACACAGCTTACGGAATTGGAGTTGGAGGGCCCTTATTTCTTTTCCTTCTGCTTTGCTACTAGTCTCACTTAGACATACATCGGTTTGTCACTGTGGTGTATAATATGAGTACATGGTGTCATCCTCGTTAGCTTCTTCCGGTAAAATATCGATTCGGAACTATTTCTTTTGGATTTAGTCTTCCATTGGCATCTCTTGGGACAATGTGGATTCCTACTACTAATTTGTTTATTCTTTTAGAATTTCTCTCTATTGATAAAGACCTTTCTACTTTGTGAATGTTATTTACCAACCATCTCAATCTCTCTCTCTCTCTCTCTCTCTTGAAGGGATAAGCTGCACTATTGCAGGTTTTATAATTTCAAGGGCATCCTTAAGGTTTGGACTTTTTCTCTCCGCATCAATGGTCCATGAACGTGAACTTTTGAACTCGTTTTTTACTTTGTCCTTCGACCTTTTAATTTTGTTTTGAGCTCTCTAAGTTTTTAGTTTGTGCTAATATTCCATCGAATGTCAATTTCGTCATTGTATTTTGTTTATTCTATTGTGCGCATATATGTTATCAAAATGCAAAACTCACAAGGAAATTAGTATACATTTTACACTATGATGATCGAGTTGTCATAAAAATTAAGAGAAACTGAAACATAAAACGTTTGCAACAACTCAGAGATTTGTAATGCATAAAAATTAACATCCAATTTGACATTACAATCGTCAAAACATACCGGTTAGAGATATCAACACGAATAAAAAAGTGGTTAGAACCAAAACTTATAATTCATAGACATAATAATCGTTTGTTTTGAGTCAAAAGAATCATCAACCTTATTCGCCAATAGCCAATTACAAAATATATCCGAACTCTGTTGATCCAACCAAGTCCCATACTATAAGAACCAATGAAAGCCGAGCACGTCACCCGAGCTCACGTACATCTGAGTACACCAAGTCATCGTGAAAGACAGATAAACCCTATATATATTTTGAGCCATAAAAACCGCGCACCCACACACATTCTCCCAATCTTCTCATAAGGCTAAGGTCCTCTCCGTCCGAGAGTCCGACTGTTAGAGTTAGGGTTTTCATCTCCGCCGTCCGATCAAAGTGATCGTCTAAGATGACAGGCAAAGCGAAGCCCAAGAAGCACACGGCCAAGGAGATCGCCGCCAAGATCGATGCTGCGACCACCAACCGCGGCGGCGGGAAGGCCGGGATAGCTGACCGGACCGGACAAGACAAGGGAGGACACGCGAAGATGGAGTGCCCGCACTGTAAGATTACGGCGCCGGACGTGAAGTCGATCAAGATTCACCACGAAGCTCGGCATCCGAAGATCCCGTTCGAGGAGGAGAAGATTGTGAACCGCCACGCCAGCACCAGCACCCAGGTGGCGGAGCCGGTCAAGGACGCTAACAAGCCACGCCCCGGCGTCCGTGGAAGCCTGAAGAAGTAAAATTTCCGTCCAAAATCGAATCAAATCAACCAAAGGAAGGGCCTTTACGGTGCTTTGGGGGGTAAAATTACTAGAATGGGGTCGGACTGGGATTGGTGCTTGGTATGGTTGGGAAGTGGGTTTAAGGTTATTTTGGGTACTTTATTTGGAATTTTATGATGGGATGTATAATAGCTTATGTGTCTTGCTTTCTATTATGCCTAAGATGATGATCAAATCAATGTTTGAGAATTGATTCCATGTGCTTTTTAAATCAGTTTCTTTCTTGATGTTGTTGATCTTTGATCGTTATCAATGAATATCATATCAAATATCAATGGTGGTTTGAAGACTCTGATTATTGTGTTGCTGTGTTTAAATGATTCCAACAATTTCAAATACAAACCCCTTTTCCAGTCTTTGTTTCCGGCGCCGGAAAACGGAAGTCTCCTTGATTCCGGTGGCGGAAATCAGAATCCTACTATTTGGGGATGCATAGAATCTGTGAAATATGCAGTTTGGAGCATTTGGAAAGTCGAGTTTTTATGTCAGTTATCTGAGTGGTATATATTGTTGCTCCAAAGACTTCAACTTGAAAAGTTAACTGTTATAAGATTGATCGAGTTGAGCACGAAACCAGTAAACCTTTTTGTATGGGAATTTTTATAAGATGTTTTATGGAAAACAAGAAGAAGAAACTGTCTGCAATTAAATTTTGCAAGAAAATAAAACCCTTAACCAGAACGAGGCGAGCGGGAAACCAAAATCTGCCTCGGCTGTGCTTTAGAAGAAAAAGAAGAGAAAAAATTATGACGGATAACCTCCCATGACCCTGTGATAGAATAGCGATGGCGACGACAATGCTGCACTTGACTGATCCATTGTTGGGAAGCGGGCATCATAAGGGTTATCATCCTTGTGCTCTTGTTTAGGCTGTAGGAATCTTACATCGATCTCCTGCAGCTGCTGTCTGGAAAAATAAGGCTGTTCTGGACAAACTGATTTTCCGTTGTTGAAATCATAACTGGCGAGAGGGAGGTTACCGGATGGCGGAAGGCTCATAGGCAGTGAAATTGGGAAGTCTGGGACAACAGAACCAGCCTGATGAGCCACATTGTGATTAGCATGCATTCCGAATGAGGCATACAGCATGGTATTCTGCGGAGGAGGATATTTCATTTGGTAAAGGGAGGGAGCTCCAAATTTCATGTCATTACTGAAATTCCCGAGAAAACTAGTCCTCATGTATTTGTCATGGAATTCCGGTTTTCTATCAAAATGAGGTGCAAGATCTTGTACTTGTGTCTCAGGCTTTGGAATATTGGTATTTCTAGGTAATGCCAGAGCTGGCTGAGCATTGGCAGTAGATGGGAGTCCATTACCGCTACTTGAATTCATGTGATTACTGTTTCTCGCTGCAGGCACTTCGTGGTTGTGTTTTCCCTCATACGCTGTAATTACGAATTTCAGATCGTGGGAGGCCCTTTCCACGTGCTTCCTTACTGAACATCCTGCACTTGTGCACTTGTAATAGCTCCTATAGGATGAAGAATGATAAAAAGTTAACCGGATACATAGAAATCTTTATGCAAATGAAATTGTGAAAATACGGATTGTGAGCTAATATCTTAATTGAAGAAATAAATTACACCATGAAAATGCCATCCTCTGTCCTTCTTCTATATTTTTTTAATGAACTCTTCTATGTTCATAACTCCGTAGAGATCCACACTAACAAGTTTGATGAAATGAGTGGGTGACAGAGAGGAAGAGCATACCTGGGGTTTGGATTTCCTTTGACAACTTTTTGCCCATACTTCCGCCAGCGATAGCCATCATCAAGTATGTCAATTTCGCTCTCAATTTGGACAACTACTCTTGGTTTGCGGACATCCCTGGATGCAAAATTTGTTTCAATCATGCAGCTCTCCTTCTTTCTGGAAGCAAAAACCAATGGAGAAGATTATAATCTTGTTCAGTCATGGCTTCCTGGAAAAAGATACCTTTGAGATAAACAGAAATTGACTTGCCTTCTTTTCGAATCAGATTCTTCATCATCTGCATCATCTCCAAGTGATATGCTTCCTTGGGTGGCCCGATCATCATCATCATGACTAGCAAGTGTGGATGAAAGCTCTGGAGTTTCGGCTGATTCAAAGATATTCATGGACTTTCCTTGGGTAGTTGAAAATGGATCAGAAAGCTCGGTAACAACAGATGCTGAGGATGTCCTTTCCAGACCGTCAGGCCTCCCATCGTAGCCAACTTTCCTATCCTTACAGGACTGAATATCTGTCCAAACTGGCCCACCTTCAACTTTGACAGCAGCCCTACTACCTTCACCCATCTCTGACATGTCATCATAAGAAAATGATGGTCCAACCGATGCTCCAGCTCTACGGTTAGGCTGAGGTTTTGCATGATTATGAGGAGCTCCCTTGTAGATGATTTCTGTTATTTGACCATCATAGGATCGTTCCACCTTTTTCTTCACCTGACAATTTGGATGCGTGCATTTGTAATAACTCCTTGGATATTCACTACCTTTTACCTGTTTCTGCCCATACTTCCTCCAATTGTATCCGTGTTCTGAGGTCCTTACCATTCCTGCAGATGAGTATGACCCTTTATGCTCTCCTTCTGAAAACTGATGGGTCCCCATGTCCTCCCCATGAACCGCTTCTTTGGGAAGAGAGCTTTGATCACTAGCTGCGCTGGAATGAGACATTTGCAAGTCTGCGCTGTTGGCATTCATAATCACACCACTGTTTATGTTTCTAACATCAGTGGACGGATCCACAGCATAGTCCGTTGCATTAGCTTCTTTGGAAAACTCCATCGGGAATTGAAACTCCATTGGTTGTTGCTCCAAAACAAGAGCTTGGTAGTCAACAGTAGATCCCTGAGGAACAACGCAATGGGAAGATACCAAACTCATGCAAACACAACCTCACAGAAAACTCTTAACATAATTTATTGGTACTTTCAGACACGAAATATGTACCCATGGGAAACTTATCAAAATCACTCCCCCCTTGGACATTTTGGTTTAAACAAGTACCGTTGGACATTCATGATTTGAAGATATGAGGACGCATCTTAAGTTGAGGCATTTACCTGATTTTCAAAACTAGAATAGGCCGGCCTGTAACCATCATCTTCACGAGTTCCTGATTTCAGCAGCAAGCTGTTATCATTGGGAGGACGCAATGGAAAAGTTCCGGTGGTGGGAGATGGAAGCGCCTAGAACAATACAAGAATCGAGGATCACATATCAAGCAGGAAGTCCTAGACAACATCACAAGGAAAGAAAAAGCTTTGGACTTTGCAACTCTCAACATCTACAGTGTTCATATGCCTTGTAGCTTTTGGTGATTGTATTTTGAACCAAACAATGTCAAAGCAGAGACTTTTAGACAAAAGTGCAGAATGACAAATTCAGATGTTTTACTTCTCAATCTGAAAAAAACCAAATTATAAATGAACGAGGTAAGTTAATTAGTTCCTTTTAACACAAGTTTTCTAGTTAGATAAGCTAATAAAGATTAATGAGTAGCACCCAAATACTAAAAGAAGTAAAAACAGTTAATCTGTTTGACATTTACTTTCACCCTACTACCAATTGCTTGCAACCAGATGCAGATATACTACGGCGTTCAGAAACCCAAAAATACCAAAAACATTCAAAGTTATACGTTTCATTGATCACACTGCGAAAAGTTCTATGGTGCTCCGTAGTATTCTTTACTCCACGGTTTTTTGGACTAAACAAAGCCCAGAAGAATATACAGTCACATACATTTAGCTCCCAAAAGAAGAAAAAACCCAAAATTTCACAACAACAAAAAAAAAAAAAAAAACATGAAAATTAACAAAGATAAAAAATAAAAAAAATAAAAACCTGAGAATTGGGGACCATCACAGGGGAGTCGAGCAGAGCCGTGGGGCTGATACCAGACGGAATAGTAAGGCACGGGGACCTCGCCGTCGGAGAATTCAAGGGGTTGGTTGTGCTGACACGCACCGTGTTGATCCTCTCCGCATTGAATCCACACTTGGCTGCCCTCCTCTCTGCAATGCTAATACCGCTCCCTGCTCCACCACTACCACCACCGCCTCCTCCTCCGTCTGCTTTGCTCTCCGTGACGGCGTCGTCTTCTTGCTCCATTAGTCTAAAAAATCCCTTATTTTTTTACACACACTGTATTTTTTTGTCTGTCTGGTCGGATTTTCCTGCTAGAGTGACAAGGCTGTGACTCTGCCTCGCCATCTAACTGTAAGACTTTTCTAAAAACCCTGACTCTGGTTTTTGGTTTCAGCTCCTCCTCCCTGAGTGGTTGCGGAGCTGAAACCTCTTCCTTGTTATTGTATCGAAATGAAAATTAAATTTAAAAAAAAAATTGGTTTGATTCAAAACTCAGGAAACGAAAAGGCTTTTTTGATCAAGTTTCTATGTCTATATTTATGGTACAAAATTTATGTGTGTTTCCAAGAAGAACAACAAATGGATTTATCACAGAGAGAGAGGAAGAAGAAGAAGAAGGAGAGAGAGAGAGAGAGAGAGGTGGGTTAATAGTCCGACGCTGATTAAAGCTTTTTTCGGGAACGACACATCTCTTCTTCTTATCAGAAACCATGAACTTCAACAAACTCCCCCCAAAATCCAATACGTGTTATTTCTTTACAATGTTTTTCACGTAAAACTAGATAAAGTTGGTTTCGTTTCTTCCTTTAAATTTCAATTACAATTTTTCTTTGAGAATTTCTCAATATTTTGACACAATTATCGTACCAATATTACAAAACAGTTATGTCAAAAATACGATATGACGAGAAGTTTATGAAATGTCTCACGGTGAAGTGAGAGAACCTTCTTAATATATCTCTTTTCCCCTTCAAGTTTCTACTATTTTTATTGCATTATTATCTTTTAATTTCATCGCTTATCGACTATAGAGTCTCATACTTTTGGACACTGGATGATCAACAAAAAATAGTCAAATACTATTTGGATTTGATAAAGTGAACATCTAGTTTTTAGTGTCAAATCAAAGGATGAGTGATTATGAGTTTTTCTGTCACCATCCATGACTAAAAAAATATTTCCGTCAAACTCTATTCAAGTTTTAACCTTATCTAATTTATTGCTTGTATTCCTTTTAAGTTAGGCATGATGCAACAATACTTACCAAGTATTATTTACTTAATTCTCGTACCAAATACAGTAAATCCATTTTACTTGGCACATTTTCTGTATTAGTTCATTGATCAGTAATTAGTGTAGTTTTATTTCGACAAGAGAAATGCTAAAGAGACCATGTCGAAAGTGAGACTTTCTATGAATTATTTACCTTTTCATTGGTTAACGTTAATTTTTGTGTTAAAATTATAAAATAGGAAGGTTTAGCATTTCTTTTTCAATAATGTAATAGGTATGTTTTAGGAGTTCGAGACTTAAGCGTGGGATTTGGTATGCTAATGGCTAGCCACAAATCTTGAGAAGCTGGTTTGCTTTCTCTATATAGTCCAAAACAATGAGTAATAATTCCTCCTCTATTAACGTATGTTTTAGCCAACCTCGCTAAGCTTAGGTTTGCCTTCCAACGCTAAGTAAACATTAAACAAGTATGGTATTTTTATATAACTAAACCAAAAAATTTACTAGCTACAACTACTACTTTCTTAACGGGTTGACATGAACACAACCTGTTAAGCTAATGAGTTTATGTTCACCAATAATCCCCACAAGAACATGCACCATCCTTGAAATGATGGAATCTATGAGCATCTCTCATTACAATTTCCCTTCCTGTTACCTTGGAGATAAACTTGGAAGCTGTATGACAATCCCCACAAACTCTCAGATTCTTCTTTATTCTGATCACACTTTCCGGTCCTAAATTCAACAGTCCGAAAACTATTGCAAGCTTCTCACTATGCGCATACAACATTTTCTCCTTCATCTCGTCCTCCACATCATGCAGCACAAAGTTCAAATCCGGATTGTACCCTTCTTGTCGAATCCTGTTTATCAATTTCTCCAGCTCCATATAGATCAAATCCGATTGAGCATGCGAATGATCACCCGCCACAAACGTGTAGACCTTGTTCTTAATCTCTATACTGGTGTGACCAGCCACTTTCCTCACCCCTCTTTGTTTCATCAAATCTCTAATATCATCAGCATCTTTCTGTTTCCCAGAAGATGCATAAATATTGGACATTAGAACATATCGCCCTGGGTTCTCTGCATCCAATTCGAATAAATGTCCGGCTGCAATTTTAGCCAGTTCTGTATTTGAATGAATTCTGCATGCTCCGAGAAGTGATCCCCATACACCAGCATCTGGCCTTACCGGCATTCTCTCAATGAACTCAAAGGCTTCATCCAGTCGACCAGATCGTCCCAAAAGATCAACCATACATGCATAATGTTCGGGCCTTGGTGTGACATGAAAATCCCTACTCATGGAATTAAAGCAGTCCCATCCCTCGGCAATCAACCCGCCATGACTACAGGCTGACAGCACTGATAGAAACGCAATGTGGTCTGGTATTATAAGAGCCTTCATCTGATGAAAGAGGTTAACTGCTTCTCTTCCATGACCGTGCATCCCATATCCTGAAATCATGGTGCTCCACGAGATTATATTTCTTTCTTGCATCTCATCAAAAACCCTTCTAGCATACATCAAACTTCCGCATTTAACATATAGATCAACTATAGAAGTTTCAAGCGCAATGCAATTGCTGAAAAAGCTACGAATAACAAGTCCATGAATCCAACGTGCTTGCTGAAACGATGCTAAACTTGAACAAGCGCCAACAACACTTAGAAGTGCCACTAAATCAGGGAGAACCCCTTGCTCTTTCATCTCTTTAAATAGCTCAACAGCTTCAAGAGGCAAATCAGCTTGCGCATATGCTTCGATCATGGATGACCAAGACACCAAGTCCTTATCACTGATCCTATCAAAAAACACCTGAGCAATATCCATTCTTCCGCACCGTGCATACATTTGCATTGCAGCATTTTGAACTGAGCGGTCCAAATCAAGTCCATTATCGGTCACAACTCCACAAACCTCACCAGCATCATTCTCTTGAAAAACACATGCCATCGCGTTCAAAACGGAAGCCCTGTTGGGTGTAATTTTCTCATTCAACATCATTAAAAAAAATTCCCACCCATCCTCAAAGCACCCATTTTGCGCGTACACCCCAATCATCGAACTCCAAGAAACCACATTTCTCTGGGGAATTTTATAAAACACCTTCCGTGCAGTTTCAACCTGCCCAAATTTCCCATACAACCCAATTAGTGAATTACCTACAAACACATCTAATGCATACCCACATTCAATCACATCTCCATGAACCTTCTTACCCAATCTCCAATTACGAGCAAACCCACAAGCCTTAATCACAAAAGGGAAAGTAAAATGATCGGGTCTAACACCCACGTCCCACATTTTACTGTACAGAGCAATGGCTTTGTTATAGAGGCCATTGTCGACGAAGCCTCTGATCATGACATTCCAGAGGAAGACGTCGGAGGCGGAGGAGACGGCGGAGAAGAGGATGTAAGCGTGAGAGGGGGAGCCCAGAGAGGCGTAGTGGGCGATAAGGTTGGTGCAGAGGAAGAGGTTGAGGTGGAGGTCGTGGGTTCTGAGGACGGCGGCGTGTACGGCTTTGAGGGACGAAAGGGTGTTGCATTGCTTAATCAGGGAGATTATCATGTGCTAATTACGCGGGTCTAGTAATTTCAAATGTTTCAGAAGCAGAGTCGGCGGCGAGACGTCTGGCGAAGAAGATGATGCTAGGGAGAGCCGAAACGTTGTCGTTTGATCAACACTGTCGCTTCCTTTTTTGCTGACTATGGTTTTCTTTTTATATTTTTTTTATTCAACTGACAGGATGAGGGTGATTTTTTGTGGCCCCGTAATTAATTAACATGTGTTTATAAATTTAAACTTTTTTTATTTTGTTTTCAGAAACTTAATTTGTGTCAGTTAATGGTCAAGGTTATAGAGAGACCACACTCAAAATGAATGTAGAAGATTTGATCTCTAGTAGAAAGAGTTAATAAATTAGATGGTTAGTTGTTAGACAGAGTGAAATTAGTGGGAATCAAATATAAAATGTGACAATCCGTCCCAAATTTTACATTTTTATAAATTTTAAAAGTGTGATTGTACGAAAATGCCTTTAGAGGCGAGGGTCTTGACATCTGTTGACCAACGTATAGCGAGGTGTATGAATTAATACTTAGTTTTTTCTTGAAGTACTCGATGTTACGGAATTATAAAACCGAGAAGTACTTTTGTTTAGTCGCTATTTATATATTTTATACATTTTTATAATGATATATTTTGTTTATCATTTAGTGATTTTAAAAATAGTTGAAGAAGATGAGGAAGAAGAAGGGGGACGGGAGAGAAAGCAGAGGAGAAGGGCTGCTGCCCAATCAGAAGAGATAAGGAGAGAAGACTGACCAATAGGAAGGAGAGTAGGAGGAAAGGAGAGAAGAAGAAAATGAGGGGACCCAAACAGGTCTTCCTTGACCCGTGCAACCCATATCTTCAAACCGGCGGCTTCTCGTCGTTTCTCGTCCAATTTTCCGACGAATTGGACCTATGAACTGCTTCTAATCATCACCTTGGCCATTTCTCTTCTTCTTCCACCAAAAAATTAGAGGGAAATTGATAGTATTTTAGTACAAAAATGGTGATAGGTGCCGCAGGAAGCTTACTCGAAATCCACCCATTTGTGAAACGTTTTCCTTCAATTACCACTACCAAAACACTTCCCTAGAACCCAGGAACAAAGCCCAAGCAGTGGTGGAGGTGTCGAAGCAAGTTTGGAGGTCGAATCGAATCACACCCAATTATAGGGTTTCGTACGGTTTTAGCAAAATTAGAGCCTTTCTAGGCCAAATTGGACTTGGCCACAGGTATAAAGTTTACTATACTCTTTGAGATCTTCAATTCTATAATTTTTGAGAATTTTTAAAAATAGTTAAATTTTCTGGCGAGTATGGGCGGCTAACCGCCACCCGCGGCGGCGCGTGCGGCGCCACGTGGCTTGTGGGACAATGATGTTTTTGAATTAGTACTATTAGATGCCCTGGGTTCATAATTGATATCTATATGACATCATTTGGGCTTAGTTTCATTTCGACACGTGAATAGGTCAAGATATGAATCGATGATCCGACCGTTGGATCGTCACCAAACTTCAATACATTATAGTACGTAATATTTGAGAACCATAGAAACTTACGTATCGGGAATCCGATATACGGATCTTCCTGAATTGGATTTGTAAGTTTATAAAATAAATGTTAACCGTCACTTAGTTTTGGGCAATTGACGGAAATCCGACCGTTGGATAGTAATGAAATTTTAGTATGTTATTCTAGAAGAATAATGTGGATATTTGGAAGTTTCGGATTGGAAATCTGATATGTGGATCTTCCAGAGTGAGTTTACAAGGTTGTAGACCCAACCATCGATTTGATCGACGGTTGACTTATGGTCGATGGGTCTTACTATTTTAGAATGTCCTTGAAAATGTGTTTTATGTGAATTATGTATTCTATTGATAAAAGTTATGAGATGTGATTTTATAATTGTTCTAGGCGCCAATCATTTGAGACACCTCGATGCGCGTGCTAGAGAATCATAGCGTGGATTCCAGGTGAGTAGGTCTTTTCCTTTTTATCATAGGTATATAATTGATAGTTTCTCAAATGCTTCTAAAGTGAATTATGCATGTTACCTACAATTAATTATTGTGAACTACGAATGGTTTGATCCCTATTTAGGGTACGTAGGCAATCTAACGAGACGTTAGATGCAGCCATATAATAAATGAGACTAAATAACAAAGACAATAGCCTTGTTTAGGGAATTGAGTAATGTGAGGGACATTGGTGGAAAATATAAGATTTAACCTTATGATTTGGTGGTTAAATATTGGTCATAAATCAATGTATGAAGAATCAGGAATTTGAAGTAAGGAAACATAAGTAATGATAGTTAATTAAACTAGTATCTAGTTGGGCTTATCATTGATAATTATCTCCGAAAATAAGTAGTTCGGGAGTAGGGCGTTACGGATTATGCATTTCACGCCATGTTATATATATATATATATATACTTGAAAATACTATGTTATAGTTGAGTTTTAGATTGCATCATGACATATTTATATGTGTATTACCTGAACCTAATTATTGTGAATGCTTCGAAGTGCCAAATGATGCTACGGACGCCCATGTAAGCTTCAGGTGAGTACATGTTGATGATAGTAATGGTAGTGAGATATGTGATGAGATATGGATGATAAGATATTGATTGGCTAACATGTTGATGAGATATTGATTCAGCCGTACAGTTCACGTGAGGTGACTCCGGCTAGTATATTGATGAGATATGTGATGAGATATGGATGATGAGATATTAATTGGATAGCATGTTGATGAGATATTGATTCAGCCGTATATGTCACGTGAGGTGACTTCGGCTAGTATATTGATGAGATATATGGGGAGATATAAATAAAGTCGTACATGTCATTATAAGTGACTCCGACTTATATGCTAGCAATGATTAATGAGATATATGAGGAGATACGGATAAGTTGTACAGGTCATTAGAGGTGACTCCGACTTATAAGCTAGCATATGTGATCAATATGTGATAAGCTAACATATGTGATGAATATGCGATGAGCTAACATATGTGATGAATATGTGATAAGCTAGCATATATGATGAATATGCATATGTGATGAATATGTAATAAGCTAGCATATGTGATGAATATGCGATGAGCTATCACATATGCGATGAGTTAGCATATGTGATGAATATGCAACGAGCTAGCATATGTGATGAATACGTGATAAACTATCATATGTGATGAATATGCGATAAGCTAGCATATGCAATGAAATATGTGATGAGATATGGGTAAGTCGTACAGGTCACCATAGGTGACTTCGACTTGCATACTAGTATGAGTTATTAATCACATGATTATTTGATATTGTTGACGAGATGTTGTCTTGTGGTATATTTATGATATTTTCTGGAAATTATACAGGTGTTGTAGCAAGGGGTTATAATGTTTTATATGGTTTCTATTAAAATTTTATTTACAGGGCCACTCACCTTTATCTTGTCTTCACCTTCCATGTTTTATTAGCTGAGCTTCCTTATCGTCGAAGACTCGTGACGATTCTTAGTATTGGAGATTATTTCAAGAGTACGATCCTTAATTCACTCTTCTGTACTTGCTTATGCTCTAACGTCACGTGTGAAGTGGGTTCATTCTCGCTCACCGCCGGTGCACTCTGGTAATTTTCTTTGGTTATTACCTTAAGCCATCCACCACAAGAAACCATTCTCATCACAACTGCTAATAAGCAAATTCCGACAACTCCTTTTAAAATCCCAAAAGAAGATGTAGGAACTAAACCCATCATCAAACAAAACAATTTTACTAATCAAAGTCTCCATACAATTGGTTAACAATTAGATAACATTGAAATAAAAATTGATAAACTTTCTCGAACAAACTCCACAATCAAGGAAAAACCTCTGGTTAATTTCCCAGAATCCTCTTCAAAGGCAGTAGCCTTGAAATCATCCTCAATTTCCACAAGTAAAAAAATTGACCAGTTATTACTTGAATTAAAGAAAGAAAAAACAGTCCAAACCATAAACCATCATGATGAATCTCAATCAGAAACATCCCTTACATCTTCTAGATCAGAAGCTGGTTCAAATTCTCTTCGAAAAGTTGAACAAGCTTTTCAAAATCTTGAACTTAAAAGAATTAACAATAGACGAGTTAATCCAACATCTCTTACCAAAAATTGGTATCGCAGACCTACTCCTCCTGATATTCAATTTGAAGAAAGGAATATTCAAAATCAATTCTCAGTCTATTCTGATAAACTCTATGAATGGAATATAGATGGTTTATCAGAACAAGAACTCCTTAACAAACTTCCATATATCTCTATGGTTGCTAATAGCTATATCACAAATCATAATCTCAGTTAACCCAAGTTGTTGCTTCATTCCTGGTGAGAGAAACATCTCACTGAACAATCCAGAAATGAAATCCTAAATGCTGTTAAAAAAGATGAAGAAGGATTACTTATTTTTTATGAACATATTGGACAAGGCGTCCCTGACGCAATTAACACACTCATTTTCACAATCATAGAACACTTCGTAGGAACACCTAGTAATGTCACCTCTAGGATCCATAATCAACTCAGCCATCTGAAATGTCCAACTCTAAGCGACTTTAGATGGTACAAAGATGTGTTCATGTCTAAAGTCATGCTCATAGAATACAGTAATCAACCATTTTGGAAAGAAAATTTATAAATGGATTACCAAATCTTTTTGCACATAAAATCCGAAATATATATATATATATATATATATGACATCAGGGAGCTTAAGGGGAGGGATCCCCATTTTTTCAAAAAAAATGGGGACACGCTCCCCACCGTTAGATTGACTTTAATGAAATTGTGTGGTTGAGATTAAAACACAGGCCATAGAATCTCAACCACAGGATTTCATTTAATTCAAATCCAACGGTGGGGAGCGTGTCCCCATTTTTTTGAAAAAATGGGGATCCCTCCCCTTAAGCAATTCCTATATGACATAGCTAAGCTACAACAGAACAGAACAGATGTCAACTTCTCAAACAGCCACACTTCCACGTCGCGTCTTTTCCTTTCATGCACATTACACACCTGGAGCTCTGCCTCTTGCCATGTTTGGCTTAGCTAAGCTACAACAGCACCCTCACACACTCTCTCTCTCTCTCTCTCTCTCTCAGTCAGAGACTCTCAAAGACATGGAAGCTACTTACCCCAACTCAACATTCACCGACCCACCGCGGCTGCCGCCAGAGACACCAACATTTGATGAAGATGATGAATATGGCTTACCAAAACCAACAGATTGGTTCTCAAAGCTTGCGTCTTTACAAATCGACTTGATTTACAACTGCTTTGCCACTCTCTCCGCTCCCATTTTCTCCCTCCTGTCCGCCGCTTCCGAGTCCTACCACCAAGCCGAGAAGGCCAAAGAAACCGTCGAAACTGTCGTCCACCAGGTCCCCTCCACCATCACCTACGGCAGCGCCCTCCTCCTCAAGAAGATCGGATTCGGGCTTCTCGGGGCCGCTTATGTCTTCATGGTTTTGGTCATGGTTTTGCTTTTATCCGCTCTTTTCGGAATTGGGTTGGTGAATCTTTGGGTGGAGGAGCCGGTGTCGTCAGGGAAGGGCTGCACTTCGATTACACGGAGCCTCATCCGACGGCTGTCTTTGCTTTTGATTCTGCTGATGATATTTACCGACATAAGAGTTCATATTCTAGGAAGTATGTGAGGGGAATTCCTGTTGGACACACTTTTGATGTCTCTTTGGTGCTTTTGATGCCTGAATCTGATTTCAATAGGGACATTGGTGTCTTTCAGGTATCTATTTATCCATCTCTCAGTTATTAACGTATTAGATGTGTTACATCAAAAGTTCTCTGTGCAAGACGTTCGTTCGCGCATATGTTCGTCAAGGCTATTGTGTTTTTCCTCGATTTCTCCTTGAATTTGTATCTCGCTACCACAAGTAATAACATGACAGTACAAGAAATTGGTCGTTTATAATAGTTTAGGGGAAAATTGGTCGAAATAAAATTCTAGAGGGGAAATCGACATTTGAAAGTTTGGGGGGAGGGGAGGGAAAGCCTGACTAGTGTTACATTACCTGAAATTGATCATAATTTGACTAAAATTATTGCTTGTTACTAATTTTTTTTTTTTTTTTGGTCAATAACTTGTTACTAATTAATTACTAATTGGTGATATGGCCATCAGTTGAGTGCAGAACAATTGTCAGTGAACGGTGATGTAATTACAAGATCAAGCCAGCCCTGCATGCTGCGATTTAGAAGCTTCCCGGTTCGACTCACACGAACATTTCTGATGGGAGTTCCTCTGCTGCTAGGAATCTCTGGTGAAACCCAGAAGCTAACGGTCCAAATAATCAAGAACAAGGAAGGGCATTATCCAAGAACTCAAGCCATAAGAGTAACTTTGATTCCAAGGGCCGGAACGTCGTACATTCCACAGTTGTACGAAGCTGAAATTGTGATGAACTCCCAGCTTCCTTGGACTAAACAATTGGTGCGCAGCTGGAAGTGGACATTCTACGTCTGGACCTCTCTATACATTTATGTTATGTTCCTCGTACTTCTCATGATTTGTTGCAGGCCACTCTTCTTTCCCATGACGATGATCAGTGCCGGTACTGCCGCAACCCCAGCAGCAGGGGACGTCGCTGAGGTGCCGAGTTATAGCAGTAACAGAGAATCATCCTCTGCAGAGCGGAGGCGACGTGCTAGGGGATCACGAGCCATATCTAGAGATGACGAGAGCGAGGATGTTCAAGAGCTGCTAAGAAAATGGAAACGAAGCAGAAGCAAAAGCAAGGCAATCTACTTGCAACCTGGGGATTTGAATTTGCCAGAAACTGTTGGCTCATCTGGACCCTCAACGATCAGCATTACAAGAGACGATGCAAGCGTTGCTGCTCCCGAAGAAGTCGGGGACTCGGAATCGGTCTGTTTATAAGGCGATGTAAACCGTGTAAAAAATTATGAACTTGTTGCCTTGTGTTAATGCGCATGACTAAGTTACTGATCAAATGATTATCATTATTGATAAACCAACTAAAACATAATTAAGAGTTCGATATCGCGTAATGTTGCTTAATACAGTAAACAGTTGGAAAATGTGGAAAATGAGGCAAAGGTACAACAGCTTAGCAACTGAAAGAAAGAAAGACATACATTTCGTGCTGCGTCTTCGGAAGGAGAAAATGTTTCTGCAACCGTTGCAGGACAACAGTTTGCAGGAAACAAATTTTCCTTCCGAAGGGTCTTTGTTTAAGGTTTAGACAGATAATTCGGTACGAGAGATCAGAATTCCATCGGTGTCTGCATAAAGCCATTCCCCGTCACAGATTCTTGTCCCGGCAATGGTTATCGGTACCTGTTTCTCTCCAATCCCTTTCTTGTTGGCTTTCATGGGATGGGATGCAAGAGCTCTCACGCCGATGTCACAGCCATTAATCTCGTCGACATCTCTTATACAGCCATTGACCACTATCCCTGCCCATCCGTTGTTCTGAGCTTGGACTACAGGGTTGCCTCCCAATATTGCGCACCGCTTGCTTCCACCCCCATCCACAACAAGGACTCTGCCGTTTCCCTTCTCCTCGAGAAACCCACGAACAAGGACATTGTCTTCAAATACCTTTAAGGTAACTATTTGTCCAGAGAACACCTGTCGCCGGCCATATATCTGGAATGCTGGCTCAAGCACCCGAAGATCACCACTTCCAATCAACTGCGAGTGAGCGTCACAAACTTCAGCAGTTGTAACCAAGGCCATTTGTTCCCAGCACCTTCAGGACAAGACAAGGGTCGATGTGTTAGACTGATAGAAGGTTTCACGGGAAACGTTATAGCAAAGCACATAGAGGATGCCATGAGAGATTTGATGGAAGAAATGAAAATATAAGAATCCCAAACACTAAATGTTACATAAGTATGCTTTATATGAGACACAAAGCAGTTACAATGCAGAGATTGCAATGCTAGTCTTGCACACACTAAGATCAACAAAAGCATCAGTAGGAGAATCCGCGCTTGAAATGGAGTTGTGCAAATTAAAATCATGATACGGATAGTTTAAAACCCCATTAATAGTTCAAGTCACACGCTCCCATAATCCAATTATCTTCGCTTCAACTATGCCTGTAAAAAATAATACATTTCGTAGAGCTGAGGAGCACTGCAGAATTCCCTTCAACATGAGAAAATTCAAAAGCTCAAAATGGTTTACTCATTTCATTTGCAACAAACAACAATGGCCAGTCACAGCAAAAAAGGGAAAATATACGCAACAAATACAGGGGAACACGAAGATTGCTGTGGAAGAAGACCGATTCGGTTAAATAGGACCCCCGAGATGATTACCTAATAAAGTATCAACATTTTCAAGAATTCAAATACATGATGCATAGTACTCTTTGAATAAATTACGCTGACATCGTTTTCCCCCAGCTCAGACATGGTTTTCGAAGTCCGGAAACAAATTGAAACCAGCAGCATTTTGTATGAAGTCGCCATTTTCAAGAATACAGAAGGCAGATAAGATTTGTAAATCTTACATGTTTGGATTCAATCAAACTACAGAAAACTGCACAGTATATTACAAATCTCAACCTCCTAATAAAAGTTAAAACTAAATACGATTAATCATATACAAATTTTCATAAGATAACACATGCATTCTGAACTCGGAAAAAAAACCAAACCTCATCCACACAACACACGCAAAGATTGGATCTTTATGTTGTTCGCATCATTATACATATTCAGAACTAACAAGATAATCAGAAAGCTCAACTCTATTAATCATTCATTAAATTCTTAATCACAGAAGCTGGTTTTAATCTAATTTTCATACAAATCCAAGCAAGACACCCGACCCGATGATCCAAATCAATACAGAAAAAGAAAAAGTTGATTAATTTTCATATCGGGTCGGCCTGTATGCCAGAGAAATGCAAGAAATTGGAATTTGAAACCAATTTTGATCAATCGGATAATCAAATCAGACGAATCAAGAGAAGAGAGGAGATGAAATCTGGCCGCTAATATGAAAAGTTGATACCTGGAACGATTGAGCAGGACACCAAAACACAGCTGAGCAGTTCACTTGTGAGTTATGATTGTGGGTGTCTGTGTCTGCGTCTCTCTCACTATAAACATGGGAAGAGGAAGGAAAAGGAAGAAGCCTTGAGGGTGAGAGAGAATCTGATACTGTTTTAGGCTGTAATGCGCGTACAAGATACGGTCTTTTTCATCTGTTGTTTTTTTTTTTTTTCCTTCATTATTTATTTGAAGAGGATTTTTCTCTCTTTTTACATTATTTAATTTTTTTTTAACTTTAACGAAAAATTTCAGGTACTGTTTATTTTAATGAAAAATTATATTTTTATATTAAAAAATTAATTTTGATAATATTCATTTTACTTTTTATTTTATCTTTATCGTTAAAACTCAAAGCTTTCGAACTATTTTTATTAGTTTTTTTTTCCCTATTTAGTGAGATTATTTGGAAAGATAGATTATAGTTTTGGGGAGATGAATCCTTTGAAAGAAAGAAATAAACTTGATGAATCTACAAAATAAATCTAAAAGGTGAAAACAAAAGGAAAATGTTAAAGAAAGTTTGGTGAAGTATTCAACGTAAAGAATCTGTGTTATTATTAAATTTTAAATCAATTATAGTTGATATAATAAGTGGAGCACATCATAGATGGCTTTTAGTTGTGATAAGACTGATCTATGTTCACACCTGCGTAGTCATATTATTAATAATTAATTATACCAGATACACCATTATGGTGCTGCTGACATATTAACATGATGTATCACATGACGAATGAGATAGAAAGATTGAAATTACATAATTGGACAACTAAATTTGCTTGGTTGATGAAGACACTTTCAGCCTTGCCAAAATTTCTAAGACGGTTGAAACTCAATACAATACATGTGAAGTTTCACACAAAAGACATCCATACAATTATTAAGATATAATTTTACAAGGCTTTCCTCAAAATTTCTAAGACAATTGAAACTCAATACAAAGGACATCCATATAATTATTGAGATATAACTTTACAAGGTTTCCGCCAAAATTTCTAAGACAATTGAAACTCAATACATGTAGTTTCACACAAAGGACATCCATACAATTATTGAGATATAACTTTACAAAGCTTCCGCAAAAATTTCTAAGACAGTTGAAACTCAACACCTGTGAAGTTTGACACAAAGGAGATCCATACAATTATTGAGATATAACTTTACAAGGCTTTCAGCATAAACCTTCAACAAATTTAGCCGTTCAGACACGCGTGTGTATAAAAAAGAAAAAAAAGCCAAGGAAAAGAAAAAGAAATGCTAAGGGAACTATGTTAAAGTGACACTTTATAATATTTGCTATCTTATAATTTAACTGTAACATCCCACATCACCCAGGGGAGTGATCTTTTAATGTATATTCTCATCCTTACCTAGCACGAGGCCTTTTGGGAGCTCACTGGCTTCGGGTTCCGTCGCAACTCCGAAGTTAAGCAAGAAGGTGGCCAGAGCACTCCCATGATGGGTGGCCCACTAGGAAGTTGCTCGTGAGTTCCCAGAAACAAAACCGTGAGGGCGTGGTCGGGGCCCAAAATGAATAATATCGTGTTAGATGGTAGAGCGGGCCTGAAAAATGGTCCGTTTCGGGCTAGGATGTGACATTAACGTTAATTTTCGTATTAATATTATAAAATATTATACAAAAAATGTATTAATATTATAAAATATTATAAAAATATATATGAGGTGTGAGAATAAAAATAGGGCAGGGTGCCACGAAAGGTGAGGACAACAAGTACCGCGAGACGCCCGGGCAAGCCCGGAGAGGACGAACAACAGGCGTCGGCAGTACCACCTTCGAACCTCTCGAGGGCTTTTTGGTCAACGCGGGAATATACAGCGCGAGGCGTCGTTGTTTCTTTTTTTAAACCGCACGGGGGAAACACCGGATAAAGACCCCTCACTAGTTGACCCGAATAATCGGGGGCTTGTTTAGGGTTGAGGTACACGTGCACATCCCAGCCCAGCACCCCAAGGTGCTGTTTGTGCCCCTCGTTAGTCAATATAAAGAGCGGTAACTTTGTTGCTCCAGCCGATGTGGGATGTGAGGTCCCTTAAACACTAGGTAGTGCTCCAATGCTGGCAACTTGTGATTGGAGTCCACAACCGTGGTATCCAAACCAATTGTGCACTAACACGTGTAAAAGTTTAAATACATAATGCCGTACGACGGCATGGAATACCGGTACTGTGGCATTCCGGGTGTCATTAAGTTTCCCCCCAGCAGAGCAAGTAAACTTGTTTCTTAGCAGGACTAAATAGCAAGTTCTTGCCCTGCTGAGACAAACATGCAGAAAAGAAATTTGTGAACCTGTTTCATGATGAAAGAGGCGAAAAGTTTCTTATTGATTCATCAGTTCTAAATTTCGGTCAAGAAAAAACTGAAAACGCCTTACGAGTCCAAACTTATTGGAACAGGAAAAAAACACCAACTATAATAAAACCACAATCAAAGTTTCCCAGCAGACTCGATTTAAGTCAACCTGTGGATGGTTTTCATGTCAGCAGCTTCCTTGATGGTGTTTTTCTCAACATGGTCCCACCACTTGAACAAGAAGTTGTCCACCACGAGCCTGAACCAAGGCGACAGCTTCAGACCTTCCTCCCCGGCATCTGCCTTCCTCAACAGCTCTTTCAGCTGCTCCTGGTTTACGTACTTGATATCAGCTACCTCGTCAGGGTTCGGATGCACATTAACATCACGTACAGTGAAGAGAAGGTAATCAACTGCAAACAAAACATAATACAAACACAGAGAGTTAATATAAAAATGCTGAAACAATACAATTTGTTCAATCATCACAACCAGTCTAACAAATGCATCTTGGACAGTGAAGAGAGGGTAATCAACCGCAAATGCGTAATAGTAAACAATG